TGAAATCCCATTGGACATTATAAAAGCAGTCCTGAACTAGAAGCAAAGTTCGTCGACCAACAAACACTTCTTATGCCTACCCAAAATGCCGAAATTGCGGATTTTTTCGCTGAAATAGTAAGCCGACAACCATTTAGCGATCTGTCATGTACCTGATGCTGTGTAAAGGAATGCAACCGGTAGATGTAGAATATTTGCAGAATTAACACACATATACAGGCATAAAATCTGTATAGTCAGTGTACTTTAAAATTAACATTGGTAAATTAATTCTAGAGACACCGTAGTTATATGTGTCCCTGGAAGAGGCATTACACATATGCAGGCATATAACATGTCACGTCAGTCACTTAAATAATCAGTGTACTTTAAAATTAACATTGGTAAATTAACATTTTAAGATTGACTAGCAATAAGAAGAAAAATGAATAAAAATCAGTTCACTTCTGGGACTAGAATGAAGAAGTCCAGTAATGACAATAAGACTTATAATTTCATATTAAAACAAAATTGCGGCTACGCCATTCCAATAGGATCCCTTTTTTAAAAAGGATTTTGTGATAAATGCAACTGTACATTCAACAGAAGAAAATTTACATGACCATTTTCTAATAAAGAAAGAAATAGTAAATAAATATAAAACGGAAATAATAATATCAAATTACAAAACAGAAGAATTTAAAACGATTCATGAAAAAACAATAATTTTCATAGCAAAACACGACTTCCCAACAACGGAAGAAATTTTTACAAAATACTTAAAAAAAAGGAAAAATAGGCATATATTCAGATCTACCGTATTATGAGTATAATATAGTGCAAGAAAATTAATTCAATTATACTTTAATAACAAACAAAAAGAATTCTATAAATGCACACTTAGAGCTCAAGATATAGAAAATGAAACGGAAGCTTTCGAATTTCGAACCGTTGTAGAGTATTACAAAAATAGGGAAACCAAATAAGATTGTTGATAACAATGAATTTAATTCAATAAGAATTAAATAACTATTAAGCGGAGAAAATATTGAATTATATTTAACAAAACCAAACAGCCAGACGGGCAACGCAGATGTAGAAAGACTGCATAACTCATTAGCAGAAAAATTTATGATAATATATAAAGCAGAAGTAGAAAACATCAGTTAAACAAATAGTGCAAAGGGCAGTAAGAAATTATAATGACAGGTACCACTCTACTATTAAGTGCACACCTTTTGAAGCGCAAAATAATAAAATAGATTTAAAAATAATAAAAAATAACATAGAAACCACTAACATCAAGATGCTTGATAAATACAACCAAAACAGAGAAAATTATGAAGAAAAAAGAAAAGAGGGGTTTATTAAAAACTATAGAGCAGTCAGACACAAAGAGGTACCAAAGTTTATAAAACGTGATTACACATTTACAGAAGATAACAATGACAACAGGATTGAAGACTGATCAATTACTTGATCAAAACAGATATGCAAGCAATGAAAAAAAAAAATATATATATATATATATATATATATATATATTGTATTATTTAATTTTATAAACAAGTTACTATTCATTAATCAATAGCAACTGTACATACAGCAGAAGAAAATGTATATGACAATTTTCTAATAAAGGAAGAAATAGTAGATAAATATAAAACGCAAATAATATCAAATTCCAACAGAACAATTTAAAACGATTCATGGAAAAACAATAATTTTCATAGCAAAACACGACTTCCCAGCAATCGAAGAAACTTTTACAAAATACTTAAAAAAAGGAAAAATAGTCATTTATTCAGATCTATCGTAATATGAGTATAATATAGTGCAAAAAAAATTAATTCAATTATACTCTAATAACAAACAAATAGAATTTACTAAATGCACACTTAGAGAGCTCAAGATATAGAAAATGAAACGGAAGCTGTAAAACAAATATCTATTTCCCATGTACGAGAGAGTATGCATTCAGGTATTCAAGAGACATATCAACAAAATAAAAAATAAAATATTTTATCCCAAGTTATAAGAATTAATACAGATAGTTATCAATCAATGTGACTTTTGCAAAAAATTAATATATGACAGAAATTCCATCGGATAAGAACCAAGTAATTCACATAGACACATAGGTAATAAAAAATACATATTTTTTAACTATTATAGATAAGTTTTCGAAATTTGCAGCCTTTTACCCACTAAACGATAGGAACCATATAACCATTGTAGAGCAGATCGAAAATCATTTATGTATAACTTTTTTCATTATATATAAACATATATTAATCGATATAAGCATATTTTTAAGCGATTTGTCAGCACTAAAACAAACAAAGTCCATACCTAATGTATACATTTTGAAGAATGATGAGAGATTGAGCAACATTATGAATGCTAAACTGGCGCCAGGATAGTCTAGCAACATTGTAAGATTGACTAGCAATAAGAAAAGTGAATAAAGATCAGTTCACATCAGGGAGTAGAATGAAGAAGTCCAGAAATGACATCAAGACTTTTACAATTTAAAATTAAAACAAAATTCGCGCAGGTCAAATATTCGATAACTATTCGCATTTAATTGTTATCGAATAAAAACATGATTGAAATGCAGTTAATAAATTATATCTCGGACTTTTTAAGAGCTAGAGCCCAAATTTTGTATTTAGTTTTACGTATATTTTATGCAATTTTGATTTTTTTTTTTGGCTCCGATTTTCCCCAAATCCTTACATTTTAAGTTTAGTTGGCAATAGGGCCATTATGTGACGGCGTTTGCATCTCTACCAAGCCAATAGAATATGTAGATCATATGCTGAAAATTTCATTAAAATCCATTAAGTAAAACAGAAGTTATTAAACAAATCGTTTGGCCAATTTGCAAAAGCACATGGCAGCAGCGCCACGCGCACCCATTTTTCCTGTGCGTGTGGACATATAAATGCAAATGCGTGTCTTCTTTTCTACTCGAAGAATCGAAATTGCAATTGAATTGTGCTGAATTATTAGCTGCTACTTAACTTTGAATTTGCAACTGCTCAATTAGTATTGCAGTTGGTAGAGGCGGCGCTCGTATGCAACTAGTTCCAGTATTCGAGACCGGTGGAGATAGTGGTTTTTATTGTTTTAATTTTTTTTAAATTATGAAGTTTCGGTGTTGGTAGAGTTGGTGCAGGTTCGTATTCGAAGCCTGGTCTCGTAATGTCGTTTTTTATTTGTTTATTAATAAACGCAAATAGGATTGGGATCAGGGTATCTCCTAGTCGTGCACCCCGACTAGAGCTTTCTTACTTGTTTTATATTGTCGAATAGCATTTCACATCGGACCCTGGGATTAACGAAAATTCCGTGATATATATATGTTCAGGCATGAACATACTGTAGTATATTTAATAACATATCAATAATACCCGAAGCAATGTAGAGTATTCTACATATAAATGCGTCATATACCTAACATATGATAGTGTATACAAAATACGCATATACGCATTTGTCCCTACGCATAAACATAGGGCGAGCGCATGATCAGCCACAAATTTACGGAAATATTGGTGTGTTTTTTCCATCCAAGGTGCATGATTGCCTCATGTACCTGATTAATTACTGACCTTCTGAAAGTTCGGGGCAGAACTGGCAAGCATCATGTTTTACCTTTTTTTGGATTTTGCGAAACAACAATATCAAGGTCCAGTTGCTTTTCGACAATCAGCCAATTACTTGATTTCCGCTATTTTTACTCGCTTTTCGGAAAATTAATTTATTTTTAACAGTTTCGGACAATTCGGTATCAAGATTGGTAAGGTCAACTTGAATTTAAAGTGTGTTCTCGTTTATAATAACCTGGCTCTATATGTACCAGCATCGCCTATGCCTTTTAACAGCTAACTTACTACATGCTTTTTCTTTTATAAGTGAACAACAACAACACCGCAATCAAAAGAAATTGGTTTAATCCCACCGTGCTGTAACATAGCTCCAGTTGGCTCTGGTACAAAATACTGGTTCACAGTCGGTTGGAACACTCCCTGTTTGCTTGTTGAGTACTTTTTCGAGCATTGATTTGTGAAGAGTTCACGCTGTCTTATCTAGCTAAGGTGCCACGTCGACCTTTTGTTGCATTTTAGTTCTGAGCTCAGCCATTTTATGTCCTGATTTACCACAGAAATGACACTATTATAGACATTTTACTCTTCTTAATGTCAGGTCCAGGTCCAGATTCGTCATCGCGATAGGTAATTCGATATTTTTGAAAGGGGCTGCGTTAATATACTGCCAGTTGTTGTACACCACTTCGAGCCACCTACAAGTGTAGTATCAGAAACAAATTTCGGCAAAGTTACGCCACGAGTCTGCTGTTCTTCAGATTTTGGATTTGTATATTTAAAGTTGTAAAAAGGGACAAGTGATTGCGCAAAAGAGGACTACCGGTAACCAGCGGCAATATAACAGCGATCGATCTTCACAAGCGAGAGCGCACACGCAATATGCAGAAAAATACCACAACCGCGTACGTCTGCATCTGTGCACTTGCTAAGCAAGCAAGTGAAACAACAAGAGAAGATGAAAAATCGAAGAATCGAGCATAAGGAGGAAATGCCAGTTATAATTGTGTGAAAGAACCTTTTTATGAAAAGATTGAACTTTTGATAGTTTATTCGTAAAATTTAAGTCCATGTATAATTATGCTAAGCAGAATATATGTTTATATATATATCTCAAGTAATGTCCTTATTTTATTCTATATTCTTGCCTGACTGTTGATGATGACTCTTGTCTTGCCAAGAATTCACCCATAGGCGCTAAAAATGGCCTGAAAAAGGGTCTGATCCAGTCCAACTGGGTCCAGAATAAAATACAACTTCACATATTAACGATAACTAAAATTACCGCTTATGGAAGTTATCATATTAAAAATAATGTTTTCCAGTCGACTTGATTTAATATATAATTTTTATAAATTCTTATTAAGATATTTAGATAATTAAAACAAAACTTTTAATTACTTTTTTTAGAGATTTTGATGAAACTTCTAACAATTTTACGCTGGAACTAATCATGAACTTAGACTTTCAAGCATTTTCTGAGGATATTCAGGATATATCGAACGCAGCAACAATGGAGTTACAAATTGAAAATGGAATCATGAATATTGCGTCTATATGGAAAAAACAGGGGTTTGAAATGGCATACTCTCGTGATGGGATTTACCGAATTAAAAATGTTGATGAATGTTTCCAACTCCTAGAAGAGCACATAGTTCAGATATCCGGTATGAAAGCCACTCGTTTTGTGGAGCCTTTCATTGATATTGTAGATTATTGGGAAAAAACTTTATCCTATATCAGTGAAACCCTGGAAAAAGCGCTCTCAGTGCAAAGACAATGGTTATATTTGGAAAATATATTTCAAGGCGAAGATATACGAAAACAACTACCTGAAGAGGAAAAAAGATTTGTAGCTATCACAGATGAGTTTCGGTTAATTACAGCTAAAATGTTTGAGGCAAATACTGCCGTAAAAGCTACACATCTACGTGCACCCCCATTTGTACTCAATAGATTTAATCGTATGGATGAACATTTGGAATTGATACAACGCGCGTTGGAAATTTATTTAGAGGCCAAGCGACAACTATTTCCTCGCTTCTATTTTATATCAAATGATGATCTTTTGGAAATATTAGGAAATGCCAAACGTCCCGACTTAGTACAAACGCATTTAAAAAAACTTTTCGATAATTTAAACAAACTAGAGCTCAGGCGAGTTGGAAAGGCTTTGAGTAGGTGGCAAGCAACTGCTATGTATTCTGATGACGGTGAATGTGTAGAGTTCTTACAGGTTTTATACATAGATGGTCCGTCAGAACGTTGGTTAAATCAGATTGAAGACTATATGATTGCGGTTATGAAAGAACAATTAAAATTAGCACGAGGATCATTAAAAAAGTTAATCGGCAATAGGGAGAAATGGATATCTCTTTGGCCAGGGCAAATGGTGTTAACGACAGCACAAATTCAGTTTACAACAGATTGCACTCGCAGCCTTATACATTGCAAAATGGTTGACCAAAAGAAACCACTTCGCAAACTTAAACGAAAGCAAATAAAAGTACTCCTTAAACTATCCGAAATGAGTCGTAAAGATTTATCAAAAATAATGCGTCTAAAAGTAAACACTCTCATCACACTGGAAATACATGGTCGAGATGTTCTTGAGCGCATGTACAAAGCAAACTGTAAGGATATTGGTCATTTTGAATGGTTTTCACAATTACGCTTTTATTGGCATCGTGAATCAGAGTTATGTGTAATTAGACAGACAAACACGGAGCAATGGTATGGTTACGAATACACTGGCAACTCTGGGAGATTAGTAATTACACCATTGACTGATCGCTGTTATATCACATTAACGACAGCTCTGCATCTACATAGAGGTGGAAGCCCGAAAGGTCCTGCTGGTACAGGTAAAACCGAAACGGTGAAAGATCTTGGTAAAGCAATAGGCCTGTGGGTGATAGTAACAAACTGTTCTGAAGGTTTAGATTTTAAAAGTATTGGAAAAAATTTCTCTGGTCTTGCGCAAAGTGGATGTTGGGGCTGCTTTGATGAATTCAACCGAATTAACATTGAAGTCCTGTCTGTAGTGGCTCAACAAATTATGTCTATAATGGCAGCTCTTTCCGCTAATGTAAAAGAATTTCTTTTTGAAGGACAGACAATTAAATTAAAGAGTACTGTCGGACTGTTTATAACGATGAATCCTGGCTATGCTGGTCGAACGGAATTGCCAGATAACTTAAAGTCTATGTTCCGGCCAATTTCTATGATGGTTCCGGATAATATTATAATTGCAGAAAATCTACTTTTCTCGGATGGATTCACGAATACTCGAAGTTTGGCTAGAAAAGTGTTTACACTTTATGAATTAGCGAAACAACAACTTTCTAAACAGTACCATTATGATTTTGGTCTTCGTTCTATGGTAGCGTTATTACGTTATGCTGGACGCAAACGTAGGCAGTTACCCAATACAAATGAAGAGGAAATTGTGTATCTTGCAATGAAAGACATGAATGTTGCACGATTTACCGCAGCCGATTTACCGCTTTTTACTGGAATAATGTGCGACATATTTCCAGGCGTAAGTCTTCCACAGATTGATTATAATGATTTTAATATTGCCATTTATGAAGAATTCAAAGATAATGGTCTACAAGCTATACAAATTGCGGTGAAGAAAGTTATTGAACTTTTTGAAACAAAAAACTCAAGACACTCAGTTATGATTATAGGCGATACAGGAACTGCAAAATCAGTTACTTGGCGAGCATTGCAAGGAGCATACTGTAGAATGAATGCACAGCGTTTTCAAGGTTGGGAGTCGGTAGTTGTGCATCCTGTTAATCCTAAAGCCCTAAACCTCGCTGAGTTGTATGGCGAGTATAATTTAAGTACTGGAGAGTGGCTGGATGGCGTTCTCAGCTCAATAATGAGAATTATTTGCGCTGACGAGGATCCAATGCTAAAGTGGCTTTTATTCGATGGACCAGTTGATGCTGTCTGGATTGAGAATATGAATTCTGTGATGGACGATAATAAGTTACTTACTCTTATAAATAGTGAACGAATAACAATGCCGCCGCAAGTTTCATTACTATTTGAAGTGGGAGACTTAGCGGTTGCTTCTCCAGCAACTGTATCACGTTGTGGTATGGTATATAACGATTATAATGACTGGGGTTGGAAGCCATATGTGGACGCTTGGTTGCAAAAACAAAAAATTAAGGCGTATGCGGATTTCTTGCGCATTCATTTTGAGTCAATGCTGCCAAATTTACTTGAGTATAAACACGTGCGTTGCAAAGAACCTGTTAAGACAAATGAGTTAAATGGAATAATGTCTTTGTGCAAACTTCTTGAAGGTTTTGGGACGAAGCAAAATGGTATTAATCCACAAAATTTAGAAGTATTAGAAGAAATGACAAAGCTGTGGTTCATGTTTTCATTGGTATGGTCAATTTGTGCAACTGTTGACGAGGATAGTCGACTTAAACTTGATACTTATATCCGAGAAATTGAAAGTTGTTTCCCTATTAAGGACACAGTCTTTGACTACTTTGTAGACCCAAATGAAAGAGTATTTGTGCCGTGGGAGAGTAAACTATCAGATACCTGGCGTTATGATGACAGGTTAGTATGTGTATTAATATATAAATAATTTAATGTAATATTATTTATTTTAGCTCTCCTTTTTATAAGATAATTGTTCCCACTGGAGATACCATAAGATATGAGTATATCGTATCAAAACTTCTAATTGAAGAGCACCCAGTGTTGATAGTTGGTAATGTTGGAACTGGCAAATCATCAACTGCAACAAATGTCATGGAAGCTTGCGATAAAAATAAATTTTGCGTCCTATATGTTAATATTTCCGCTCAAACGACAGCAGCTGGTCTTCAGGCTACGATAGAAAACCGTACGGAAAAACGGACAAAAACACAGTTTGTACCTTTTGGAGGAAAAAGAATGATCTGCTTTATGGATGACTTTAATATGCCTGCTAAGGACACGTACGGTTCTCAGCCGCCCCTGGAGCTCATAAGACAATGGATCGATTATAAATACTGGTTCAATCGTAAAACGCAGCAAAAAATTTATGTACTTAACACTTTGTTGATGGCGGCGATGGGGCCACCTGGTGGCGGACGACAGGTTGTCTCACCAAGGACTCAAAGTAGATTTGTTCTTTTAAATCTCACATTTCCAACTCAAGAAACAATAACACGAATATTTGGTACAATGCTTAAACAGAAACTGGAACGATTTACAAGTGATATTCGCGAAATTTGGCTACTTCTTACGCAATCAACAGTTTATCTCTATACAGTTATTATTGGAAAAATGCTACCAACCCCCAATAAATCGCACTATCTCTTTAACCTTCGAGACATTTCTAAAGTATTTCAGGGGTTGTTGAGGGCATCTCCAGAGCTTCAGACAACAAGATCAAATTTTCTTCGTCTTTGGATACATGAATGCTTTAGAGTATTTAGCGATCGACTAGTTGATGATGCAGATCAAGATTGGTTTATTAACACTATAAATGAAACATTAGGTCAATATTATGAGGTAACTTTTCACAGTCTATGCCCATCAAAACAATCGCCACTTTTTGGTGAGTTTGCTCACCCTCAAGGATTCTATGAGGATTTAAAATTAGATAACCTACGTTTGTTTATGATTAGTCAGTTGGACGAATACAACAATTTTCCAGGAATGGCTCGCATGAACCTCGTATTCTTTAAAGAAGCTATTGAACATGTAGTTCGCATAATACGTGTTATATCTCAGCCTCGTGGACATATTTTAAATATTGGTATAGGAGGATCCGGTCGTCAAGTACTTGCTAAACTAGCTGCTTTTATTTTAGAAATGGGAATCTTTCAAGTTGAAGTTTCTAAAAAATACAAAGTCGGAGATTTACGTGAGGACTTGAAAAGCCTTTATAAGTTAACAGGAATTAAGCAAAGGCTACATATATTTATTTTTAGTAGTGAGCAGGTAGCAGAACTATCATTTTTGGAAATAATAAATAATATGCTCACTAGCGGAGAGATAAATTTATTTAAATCCGACGAATTTGATGAACTAAAGTCTGACTTAGAGCGACCAGCAAAAAAGGCTGGGATTGAACTGAATACGGAAGCATTATATTCATTTTTTATGCTAAATATAAGAGATTTCATGCATATAGTTCTCTGTTTTAGTCCCGTTGGAGAAAATTTTAGAAACTATATACGTCAATATCCAGCTTTGTTAAGTGCAACAACTCCCAATTGGTTTAGACTTTGGCCTCAAGAAGCCTTGTTAGAAGTAGCATGTCATTTTCTGAAGGGTTTTCAACTAAATGCGCCAGTTCCCGGAAAAGATGATAAGAAAGATCGTGATAGTTTGGTTGAAACAACTGAAAACGTTCTTCATCGGGATATACCACAGGCATTTTCAACTATGCACTCGAGTGTTACAAAAATTTCACAGCTTATGCTGGAAGAAGTCAAACGATTTAATTATGTTACGTCTCCAAATTACTTGCAGTTGGTAAGTGGTTTTAAAGATCTTCTTGAAAGAAAAAGGTTAGAAGTATCAACCGCTGCTAATCGCTTACGAAACGGATTGTCCAAAATTGAAGAAACTCAGGAAAAAGTGACATTGATGTCAGATGAATTAAAAATAAGTTCAGAGCAAGTAAAATTACTTGCTAAGGAATGTGAAGAATTTATTGCTATGATCGAAATACAAAAATCCGAAGCCACGGAACAAAAAGAGATTGTTGACGCAGAAGCTGTCATTATTAAACGTGAGGAAATAATATGTTTAGACTTAGCTGCAACTGCACGGGCAGACTTGGAAGTTGTTTTGCCTATGATTGATGCTGCAGTTAAAGCTTTAGACGCTCTGAATAAAAAAGACATTGCTGAAGTAAAGTCGTATGGGCGCCCACCTATGAAAATTGAAAAAGTAATGGAAGCCGTGTTGATATTAATTGGAAAGGAGCCCACTTGGGAAAATGCCAAGAAAGTACTTAGTGAATCCACCTTTTTAAATGATTTAAAAAATTTTGATCGAGATCATATCTCAGAAAAAACACTTAAGCGTATAGCATTATATACAAAAAATCCTGAATTGGAACCAGACAAAGTAGCAGTTGTTTCAGTTGCATGTAAGTCATTAATGTTATGGATTATGGCTATAGAAAACTACGGAAAAGTTTATCGTATCGTTGCACCCAAACAAGAAAAATTAGATAATGCTATGAGATCTTTAGAAGAAAAACAAGCAGCATTGGCTGCCGCCAAAAAAAAACTTGAGGAATTGCAAGCAGTCATAGAGGAGCTTTATCGACAATTAAATGAAAAAACCGACCTGCTTAATGAATTGCGTGCAAAGGAAGAACGGTTACGAAAACAATTAGAACGAGCTATTATTTTGGTTGAATCATTGTCAGGGGAACGGGAGCGTTGGATAGAAACAGTAGCTCAATTAGACGTTGCCTTTTTAAAATTGCCAGGAGACTGTTTGCTATCTATTGCATTTGTGACATACTTGGGTCCATTTGATACAAAATATAGAGAAGATTTGCTTAATAAGTGGAGACAGCTTATTAAAGACTTAGTTATACCATCCACATCTGAACTGAAGCTTACGGTTTTTCTCTGCGATGCCGTTTCTATTCGAGAATGGAATATTCAAGGGCTTCCAGCCGATGACCTAAGCACAGAAAACGGAGTTATTGTAACTCAGGGAAGTAGATGGCCACTAATAATTGATCCACAAATGCAAGCAAACAATTGGATTATGAAAATGGAGGAACATAACCAGCTTATTATTATTGATTTGGGTATGACAGATTATCTTCAACAAATTGAACTTTCTATTAAAGAAGGGTTTCCTGTGTTGCTCCAAAATGTTGGAGAAAGCCTGGACCAGGCTATATATCCTATACTTCGTCGCAGTTTTACAATACAAGCTGGAGAAAAACTTATAAAATTTAATGACAAATATATATCTTACAACGATAAATTTCGATTTTATATTACAACTAAGATATCAAATCCGCACTATCCACCCGAAATATCATCCAAAATGACCTTAGTGAATTTTGCATTAAAACAAGATGGGTTGGAAGCTCAGCTGTTAGGTATTATTGTTCGTAAAGAAAAACCTGCTCTGGAAGAACAAAAAGATGACCTAGTTTTAACTATCGCACGTAATAAAAGAACACTTATTGATCTAGATAATGAAATTTTACGCCTGTTAAATGAAAGTAGAGGATCGCTTCTCGATGATGATAAATTGTTCTCAACGTTACAAAAGTCGCGACAAACATCTGTTTTAGTAAAGGAATCATTAAGTATCGCCGAAATTACAGAAATAGAGATTGACGCAGCGCGACAAGAGTACAAACCCGCATCTGTACGCGCTGCTATACTATTTTTTGTATTAACAGACATGTCTAAGATTGACCCAATGTATGTTTTTTCTCTGGCTGCATATATTTTATTATTTACGCAATCCATCGAGCGCAGTCCACGAAACCAATTTGTACATGAGCGAATTCATAATATCGATGAATATCATACTTATTCTGTTTATAGAAATACCTGCCGTGGTCTTTTTGAAAGACATAAGCTGCTTTTTTCCATTCACATGACGGCGAAAATACTTTCAAACGCTGGAAAACTTGTCGAAGAAGAATATGATTTCATACTCAAAGGAGGCATTGTTCTCGATAAACAAGGGCAGGCTCCTAACCCAGCCAAATGTAAATATTGTATATATAGTTGCACTAAGTTGCGTTTATTATTTAACTTACTTTTTAGTTGTTTTTATGTTATGAAAAAATAAATTTTCTATAAGCACTGAAAAATTGAAATAATTGCAAATATTTTATTTTTAATCTTAAAATTTTTGACAGGGTGGATTAGTGAACAAAATTGGGATAATATAACCGAGCTGGACAAAATACCAGGCTTTCATGGTATTATAGATTCATTTGAATCAAATTTTAAATTATGGAATGGTAAGTTAAATTTTGAGATACGTTTTTAATTTTTAAAAATTTAATCTAATTGTCCTTAGCTTGGTATGCAACTGCGTTCCCTGAGCAGGAAGATTTAATTGGAGAATGGAATGATAAACTTACTGATTTTCAGAAAATTTGTGTAGTTCGTTCACTACGACCGGATCGAATCAGTTTTTGTATGACTCAATTTATTATCAGTAAGTTGGGCCCACGCTATGTGGAACCACCAGTTCTAGATCTAAAGGCTGCATTTGATGAATCCATTTCTCAGACCCCACTGATATTTGTTTTATCACCGGGAATAGATCCAACTCAATCTTTGATAGCTCTTTCAGAAACAGTCAAAATGTCTCAAAGAATGTTTTCATTAAGTTTGGGTCAAGGCCAGGCACCTGTAGCTACAAAACTAATAATGGATGGTATCAAAGATGGCAATTGGGTATTTCTTGCAAATTGCCATTTATCACTAAGTTGGATGCCAACACTTGATAAAATGATAGCAACTATGCAATCAATAAAGTTACATAAAAAGTTTAGACTCTGGCTAAGTTCTAGCCCTCATCCCGACTTTCCTATATCAATATTAGAAACAAGTATAAAAATGACTACTGAACCTCCACGTGGAATTAAGGCCAATATGAAGAGGCTTTATAACAATGTAAATGTTGGAAACATGGACGTTTCCAAAGAACCTAGTAAATACAAAAAACTTCTTTTCTCACTATGTTTTTTCCATACAATTCTCTTGGAGCGAAAAAAATTTCAACAACTAGGGTGGAACGTAGTTTACAGTTTTAATGATTCCGATTTTGAAGTCTCTGAAATCTTATTGCTTTTATATTTAAATGAATACGAAGAAACACCGTTTAATGCATTAAAATATTTGATAGCTGGAGTAAATTATGGAGGACACGTTACTGATGATTGGGATCAGAGACTTTTATCTACATATATAAATCAATTCTATAACGATCAAGCATTAAAAACGCGCAAGTTTCGGTAAGTGATTTTATTGACAAACTCAATAACAAATATTTTCCATTACCATTGGAATGCCATTTTTTCTTTAAATTGTATGCTATTTTTCTATTGTATTTATGTAATCCGATAATTAATAATAATTACATGTTTTTCATAGTCCGAACGTAGACCTTGTAACTGTTATTAATTGGTTTCGGTCCACAATTGTCGTAACTCTCTAAATACTATAAAAACTGTATTTGTAAATAAATTTGCAAACATTTTGTTCTCAAATTATGTTTGAAATGGTACATATTTTAAGAAAATTAGATTGAAAATTACCTCGGGCATATATAGGTTTTTATACTTTTATACTTTTTATCATATAATTAAAGTTATAAATATTAGCAATCAGTAGTTTACCACTCATACCAAACCTTTATTTATCATCCTCGTCCTTTAAGTTCTATCTTTGCTTAATTGACTCACGTAGATTATAGAAATAAAAACTTAAATTAATTTAGAAATAATTTACTTTATACTGACTCGTTCAATAAAATAAGAAGAGCCAGTTCAACCACGCCGCATCCCAGGGACCAACCCATTACGAGCGCCGCCTCTACCAACGCAGCCACTGCATGGTTTTCTTACAAGGAAAGTAATTTGAAGTTAAATAGCACCTAATCATTCAGCACAATTCAATCGCAATTTTAATTCTTGGAATAGAAAAGAATACACGCATTTGAATGTATTTGTGCACACGGATAGGACAAATGAGTGCGCTTGGCGCTGCTGACATATACTTTTGCAAATTGGCCAAACGATTTCTTACGAACTTCTGTTTTACTTAATGGATTTTAATGAAATTTTCAGCATATGATCTAAATATCCTATTGGATTGGTTGAGATGTAAACGCCTTCACATAATGGCCCTAGGTCCAACTAAACTTAAATTTTAAGAATTTGGGGAAATTTGGAGCCAGTATCCAAAATCCAACAAAAACCAAAATTGCATAAAATATACGCAACCGTAGGGAAAATGAAGAATTTAGTGAAAGTGAGCGACATAGAAATAGACAAAGAAACGAAGTTCACAGGAACAACGCTATCAATAGAGGTTTAGGTCAAAGCCAAAATACCCTTCTACGTGCAGCTTTACGCACAAGTGCCCAGACTAGACAGGTTGAGCAATTAGCTGAGACTTTGCGCCGATCGATATGCATACAAGACCCAGTTTATAGGGCAATCGAACAGAGACAAAATACTGAGAACCACGCAACAATACGAGCCAATTCTCCCATTAGACAAGAGGAGCAATTTGCTGACACTTTGCGCCGATCGAGACGCAGATAAGACCCAGTTTATAGGGCAACCGAACGGAGACAAAATACTGAGGACCACGTGACAAGACGAGCCAATTCTCCCATTAGACAACAGGAGCAATTGGCTGACACTTCGCGCCGATCGAGACGCAGACAAGACCCAGTTCATAGGGCAGGCGAACAAGGACGAGACACTGCACGACGTGCTCGACGAAGAAATGACATTGGACGGCGTCTGCTACAAAGGGTAAGAGATAGGGACTAAAGATCGCCGGTTAGATACGATTCTATTCGTAGGATAATTGAGCAGGCACGTAACACAAGTGCAAGACGAAGTGCTCGCATTCAGGCACGACAGGGAACTTTTGACGCCAATAGAAGTTTAACACAGCGAGTTAGCCAATATCGTAATAATATTGAAAATAGGATATCTGAGAATAGGCGTAATGCGACCAGAAACAGGATAGAACGAGCTAATGCCTTAATTAGAAACAGATCCCAAACTATTAATAGTAGTCTTGATGGTCTGATATCCGTTTTTAATAAAACGGTAAAGCTTTATAGGAATCACCAGGCTATCATCATTTTCGTCTGACGAAGGTCAGAATTATAAGAAGTTAATTAGAAATAATATTTCTATTCGCTTGCGTAAGTACAGCGCCACTCACGGCATTACAGTGGCAAACGCTCTTAACTAAGAAAATATAGATCATTTGGTTCGCCATGACGATGGCTATAGAGTTTTAAAATGCATTAGGACCTCGCCTGCTCACTGGGAAGCAGAGAAGAAAAAAGTAATGGCTATGATTAGGCAGTTTGGTCTTCCGAATTTCCCGACACTTCCGAAGAAGTCTCAGGCAGCTTAGTTTTTGACAACAAAGGCCGTCTAATTAGAGCCGACCCTGTTACGTGTGCTAGGTATTTTAATATTCGGTATAGGCAGGTTTTAAAACTAATGCAGTCATCATGTTACAAAGTTTTATTGGCTGAAAGATGCCCCCAAGCTTGATTCGACCGATGAGTCAAGCCTTTTTCGTGTAAAATCGTGCTCGGATGTAGCTCCGTATTTGCAGTATCAAATACGGAGCTACAGAAGTCAGGGCTCAATAAATTTGTAGATTCGGTATTCCATACCCTCCTATGCTCCAAACAGAGATTTTATTCCCATTAGAGGAGAATGTTCAAAATCTAGATGAGCATCGTAGAAATTTTAAAAAAGTTCAGGGCTTGGAGAATTCGTTTGATCAAGAATCTATGGAATTTCTCAATAATTTCGACAACTTTTTGTCCCACGGTGACCTAAATCTTAGCGATGAGTGCTATATTAATGCACTTAGGTTTAGGATTAAGAAGCCAAAAGTATATTTAAAGCATTCATTCGCTACAATTAAACTTAACGCTTATAATAAGCACCTTCTGCAGCTGCAGCGAGCTAACATAGATATACAATTTATCCCTATGCTTGCTGAAGTTATGTTGTTAATTATATTAACAAGTCCCAGAGAGGAATTTCAAAACTAATGCGTGAAGCTGTTAGTGAGATTAGCAGGGGCAATGTAACAAACGAAAGTTACAGTACATAGGGTACAAATATATTTCGGGCATTGAAAAATCTGCCCAGGAAGCCGTTTACTGCTGTTTAGGAATGCACTTGTCAGAAAGCAGTAACGCTAAAGTATACATTAATACTTCATTACCAGAGCATCGGGTTAGAATGCTTAAGTCTAAGCAACAGTTAGAAAATTTATCCGATGACTCTACTGGCATATTTTTATTAGGTTTTTTAGACCATTATGTTCAGCGCCCTGCGGCTTTAGAAACTTTATGCTTGGCTGATTTTGCTACTTTTTATAGTTTTAGCAAGCAGCATAGTGGCACTCGCCAATTAAATGTACATGAAGAATTACTAACATCCCAAAGGTTAGTTTTTGACCTTCGCAATGGTAGTGGTTTTGTGAAGAAAATACGTACTCCCAGTATAATTAGGTATAGGAGATTCAATATTAATGGAGAGACGAGGAGGCAGAGCTAGTTATGAGGGACTGCGAATCGTTTTGTAGCCACAATCAAAAATTAATTGATACAAACCGTAGGAAATATAATAGTTTAGCTGATAGTGAGGTAGTAGATGATAGGTTTAAAGTTTTATGGTTGTCAGAAATAGATCCAAGAATTAATGTTTTAAACATTAATGGAGGAGAGAATTGGATCAGGGGTTAGAAAATACCAATGTCCGAATGATTAAGATTCCTGTTTTGTTTTCTCCAGATAAAATTCAAGATATTGTTAGGTCTTTAAATTTAAAGCAGACTTTACACATGTTTTGCATAATGTGAAAAGTAAGTCAATATTTTATGAATTCGTTGGAGGTAGTGCTGGAGTCAGAAAAAGCCGACTAATCGCCTCCATTTGTCAAGCATTATCCCATTTATATAATAGTAGGCCTGTGAGTAATGTCTCATCTAAAATCTTACTCTGTGCCCCAACAGGTAAAGCTGCTTTCCGAATTAGTGGTTTGACACTACATTCTATTTTCTCTCTACCAGTTAACCAATCTGGTTCTGATTTGAGCGCACTAAGTGATGACTTGGTTAATACTTTGCATTCAAGGTTAATAGACCTTAAACTTATTATAATAGATCAAATATCTATCATAGGTTTTGGGGATTTACGACAGTTGTCACCAGTAGCCAATCGTTGGATTTTCGAATCCAATTCTCATGATCCCTACAGCTATAGCTATAGCTTTAGGTCGTCCGAAACACACTGTAGAACCTTTTGAAAACAATGCCAAATATATGAATACGGTCATCAGGTATTTTGATGCAAATAAATTTCGATGCATCCAACGCTCCAAATGTTTTCTGGATGCAATTTTCAGAGGACAGTGTGTTCGTACTCACTGTCTCAAAGTGTACGCATCGTACAGAATCTTCATGGGCCCCATTCAAAAAATCATTAGAAATTTCCAATATAGGAAAAATGAGCAAGTATCCATTGACCGCAAGCAGTTTCCAGTTGTCCACACTTGCTGTCGAATGCACCGTGCTGCAATATACGTAGCTTTTAGTAGGGCAACAACAGCTTTGGGGTTCTTTATTATGGGAGATTTTATCCCTCCAAATCCTCCAAAAAATTACGTACTGAAAAACGGCTTCGATCACATTACGATCACTTAATTGACAGTTGAATCTTAGTTATCTTTTACATAATACTCAGAGTATTAACTGTCATATTGAAGACATTCGATATGACAGATTGATGTTGCAGTCGTCCGTTCTATTTTCGTTGAAGCGTGAACATATTTAAACAAAAATGTTAATCTTGAATGCGAGATGGTACCTAACGCAATACGACCTAAGAGAGGAATCATCATTTATGCTAGGAATACAATTTTAAATAATATAACTAGATGCTTGAGCGCCAGGAAAATAAATGGATCTTCAGTTTCAGAATATGCCATATTTAGGCATAAATCGTTAAGCTTTGTAGTTTCTACAAAAGTCCGTCTCCATTTGTGACCAGCGATTGCCTTATTTTAGGAGATCTTAATCTGTGTTTGAGCAGATTTGAATCGGCTAGGATTTTATAGAATTTAGATTTGAAAACCCCTACCACCAATTGTAATTCGCTCATTGGTGGGGCGTCTATTTGTCTAGTGAATATATTAGCGCTAGGACTTTTGAAACAGTTTATAGTTACAACAGTAATATTTCA